ACTATGAGATATAAATATCCTTCAAAAGTATCAATACTATAGTTATTGTCATATGATCTTATATAACCAATAGTAGCTGACGTTTTTGACAGATAGTTATGTCACTTTTCATGGTTGTTATTGCAGTAATTTGAAATGATTCATTTACAAAAATAATTGCTAGTGAAGTTGCTAATACTTTGAATGTATTACTTGTTAATTTTCACTATAAGATATAAATATCTGTCAAAAGTTATGATGACTATAGTTATGATACATTTTATGATAGCTGTCAGTTCCGTCATTTTCATATAACTTTATATAACCACTAACATTTGACGTTTTCGACAGATATTTATGTCACTTATTATGTTAGTTTCATAAGCATTAAAGTAATCTGAATGTATTGTTTGTACATTAACGAATTGCATAGCTCACTATAGGATATAAATATCTGTCAAAATTACCAATTATTACAGTTATGACAGCTGTCAGTTCCGTCTTTTTCATATGACTTTATATAACCAATAGGATTTAACGTTTTTTGATAGACATATTTGTGACTTATAACTTTAGTTTCGTAAGCATCCTAGTAATTTAAATGTATTGTTTGTAAATGTTTCGGATTGCGTACATAAGATAGAATTCATGTTTAATATACAAACAATATTTGCTAGTGAAGTTGCTACATAAACAACATAATGAACTTTTAATGATCACAACATCCACTCGACCAATAAATAATATCAGAAAGTGCAGGAAAAATTCCACCAAAATAAATATCGTTTAAAAATATACATTCATCAACTTGTTTAAATCATTTGTTTTCTACGTGCGACAATAAATAGCAATATTACAGCATATGAGGCGGAAGAAGTAGTGACGAGGATTGTATTAAAATTCAATGAATCTGGCAGATGTCGCGAAATGAATGGCAAAACACTTCCTCGATCCAAACCGAAAACAGAAGAAAGAATCAATCCTTTGACGTCTTTCAAAATATTTTCATATTTACACTACCATGAATATTCAAAGGATCCTATGGTTTTATGAAAAAAATAATAATAATAATAAAGACTTTGGGATGATTCCAACAGTTCACGACTTTAATTTAGATCGTTAACGGAATATTCCATGTTTCCGTGGTCATTAGTACGCGTTAAACGAAAATCTGAAATTACGTAAATGCTTACGTCCGACATGTAAATCCGTGACTCGTAACCGAATTGGATAATCACCGCTTTGAATGAAAGGAAGGGAGAAGTGCAAAGCATTGTCTAACGAGAATCCTTCATCTCTAATTAATGTCCAGCGCGTTAATTACAAAGGTTTTGACCTGATCCAACTTAACCTACATCGAGTTTGCATTGCTAATGACTAGACAGCACTAGACAACATGTTTCGTTAAGTGGATTTGTTAAATAATCCTCCAATCATTCTTTGCTCAAGACCACATTACATATTGATTGGACATGTTAAAAGTGGAACTGTGTACAACCGAAATTACTTTATCGCTTTTGAATTGCATCAATTATGACTAAATGTTTGTTTGATTGAAATCCTCGCGGATTTTTCCAATAACAACTTTTGATTCTTGACGATCTTAAAGACCGGACGAATCTCTCGCATCCACGTATTTAAATACCAAATATTTAAGGTATCTCTCTTTTAGAACCGAGAGAATTTTAAAGAAAATAAACGCTTTCCTTTAAGTAAAATAAACTTGGCACGGATACGTCCAGTTATATTTCTTTCTCGTTTACTCATTTATTTAAATACCGTTTTATAAAAGAAACGCATAGTTTCCATCTGTTTAAACACTTCTATTTCTTCGACTAATTACGTACAAAAAAATACTCTGTAAATTGATACTCGAAGTCTGGTAAACCATAAATATTATTTACAAAAACGCATTTTGTTTTTGGCTTATTTTTGCATTTCTTAGCACGTTTTTTTTTTTAATTATTAAGAGATATGTTATTTAGTATAAGAGTCTGCTTATTACGGACAAAAGAATATTGTCGTGTCCTGAGATTAAGAAATCTCTGGACACCGTGGATTTTCTCTTAGATGGGTTTATAAATATTAAATGCAATATTCTTAATTGATTTTATTGTAAACATCAGAGTTTTTATTGAGAAGTCAACTATACAATAGTTGATCTCATGGATTATTAACTAAGAGTTTCATTCTCCTCTTAAGTTAGTATTTAGGAAGACTGTCCTCTTCCTTTGGCCCTCTAACTAAACTATATAATAAATGTGTTCATTTCAAAAAGGGGCTGTGTGGGAGGTAAGGAAATCAGTTTTGAAAATACAACCGTTTCTTTATCTAAGTTTTATGATCCTACTCAAATATTTAGGGGCTGAAGAAGGCTGTTATGTGGTGATACAACGCTACTGTACGATTTAATGTGTAACCGTCCTTCGGAATTTTCCAGAAGTTATTCTACATAATCACTTAGAAGTATCCGTTTGTATATTTGATGGATACGTGAAATATGTTTTGTAATAATTAAGAGGAAAGTGGTAGACCTAACAAATATTCATATTAATTATACAATAGATGATAATAAAATGGTCGGCCATGACAAATTAACAAATAAAGAAAAATATAATCAATGAATTCGTTCATTCAATGTTTATGAATAAATATTTATGCACTAAATTTAAAGTAGAATAATTCAAAACTTTTTGTAATGCCTATGAATCACCTGTAAAATGTCACGTTTACTTTAAATGTTTCATCAACTGATAACGACTAAAAGAGGCCAGATTACTTAGATTAACATACTTCTAGCATTACACACTAAATAATAAAATGTAACTATTTTTTTATAAGTTTAAAAAAATTGAAGTTTAGTTTCATTCATTCATGTATTTTTTTAAGAGAAGGAGAACAACGGATTCACAGTTAAATGTAATTACGAGTAATGGGTTTAAATTTACCATTGGTAGTGGAAAACTATGAATGAACCGACTTTTGGAAGAGGTCATCGTACGGTAACTCTGGTATTCGGATTAATATTCAATTTTAATTAGAATTAAATTAAATTTATTAATTAGAATTAAATTTAAAACGAGTTTTTATTTAAAGAATCGCTGAAATTTCGTATTATTTTTCTTAGTCATTGCCGACGAATTCATCATACGACAATGATATTATTCCATAATTCAATTCCAATTCTATTTATGATTCAATTCAAATTTTCAGAATTCGTGATTCTCTTGATCAGTTTAACGAAAAATGTGCCGCATCAGTGGAATCATTTCTATTTTTCTGGTAATTTTGTTGTATTTCTTCATTAATAATAGATTACTAATAGTTTTTTTATAAGATTTTATTAATTTTTTATGTATTTCAATTATTCACAATTTATTTTTTTTTTTCATTAGTTTAACAAAATCTGATACAAGTGACAAAGTATTAACAATCATTATTTTTTTTGTAGTATTTAACAGAGAAAATGACAGCTGTCACCTTATGTCAAATACTGATATTAACATTTTGTTACTTAATAAAATAAATGGATATTATTTCAAAAATATAAGGCTTTCCTTTTGTCTCAAAATGGGGTTGATAAAAATTGAAAATAATGAGATTATATAAGACCGTAAGACGCACTATAATATAATTCTATGTTGATTTATTTACTTAAAATACTGTAATAATACGTTTATAAAGAAAAAAAATATTTGTTTCCTTGTTTATTTGAATCATGGGTATTACGTGAATAGGATTTATTGATGATCTGTAATGTTCAGTAAAGTTCTTAAGATATTCGTAACATTATTATTTATTGTAGGGATGTTTAATGGACAATTTATATGTATCAAATTCCCGCGAATTGTTTTAGTCATTGTTTCGAAATTCCCCGATGATTGCCTTTGACAAGATGATTATAGTGAGTTTTTTTGCAAAGATTCGTATAAATAAATGTCCAGAAGTGAGGAGAGGCGAATCAGAAGAGATCATATTTGTAGTGGAACTTTCGCGGCATACGCAATTCGAAAAACCTCGCGTTTCGTTCTACGTGCCGCGAATAGACGTTGTTATATATGCATGCATGGTGTACAGTGGAAGTGGCTTGACGTAAACAAGCCAATATCTAGAGCTTACCATCGAGTGAGCAGTCCAGTCGAAAATGAAACGCGTTTGAGGTGGGATCGTTCCGTACAGTATTACAAATACTCGAGCCACTTTTGCCCTCAAGCGTATCGAACGTAACAAAAAAGAAAAGAACATTGAACCATTATACCCAGATAAGCTCAACGCTAGTGCACCTCTGGGTACCAACGACATTGTGTAACGAGTCATAGTTTAATAAACTTTTGCGGATAATGTGTGTGAGCCATTTAACCATGGTGCCAGCAGTTGTTAATCTAGTTGCCACCAAAGGCAAGGATACCTACAGTGGATTTATTTCGGATCTCATGTGCATCAAATGCAGAACACTATCGGTACGTTCCTTTTCCATTAACCTTTGTAAAGAAGTAAATTACCCAATACCTTATTATAAAACAAAAGCGACGGCTACGTGAATTCAGAAAGTTAACTTTCACTGCGTTCGCGTGCAGAAAGAATTCATCGATCTGCAGCTGCGCTCGCTTCTTGACGCAAAACGTTAGATGAAGGAGAACGAAGGAACTGAATAATTATAAGGAACTGTAAATGATATTAATAATATAACAAACATTCAAGAGCATTTAGCACGTTTCTATTCAATGAAAATACGCTTTGCAAAATAAGTAACGCATAAAATTTTACAAATAAGCTTTTTCCTCGTTCGCCTCTCCGCTCGCTCGAATCTAGAGATTTTGTCCTGGCGATGAATGGATACGCTCAATACCAAATATGAAGCAATGCCACTCGTTACGTTCGCTTCGAACGCACTGATTATAAATTACCGGCATTTATAGCAGGCCGACAATTAATCAATTGACGTGTTTTGCGTTTACGGTCAACGCATTTGATCTGTCCGACGTCGATGCATCAGAGAACTAATCTATCTAAAATTACAGTTTTTATTGCAGGCCGCTGAAAAAGAGCTCGATGTTGACCTGTGGAAGTCCAAACACCACAAGGCGACACGCAGCGAGTCTCCAAGAAGCACCTTCAAGAAATGGCGCAGAAACAACAGCCTGAAGACCCAGGCGACTATTAAGGAAGCCAAGGATAAGGCGGGCGATGAGGATATGTCTCTTCTGAAATTCCTGGCCATTGTAAGTACCATTTTTTCTTTATTTGTTTATCCTTTTGCCGCCGGAAACGTTATCGCTCCGGAAACACGTCTGACGTACTACCGATCCGGGCCGATTATAATCCGTTTCGTAATCGACCGTCCTTGAATGAACAATTTTGGAACTTTTTGTTTTGTTTTATAGAATGCACTCGATTTGAGCGCACCGGCCAGCGATGTCCTCCTGAAGAGCCGCAGCTCGAATTGGTTCCAACTTTCGGGTCATCCGGATAGCCTGGCACCAGCCGGACCAGGCACCGTATGGAAGAAGCGCTCTGGAAGCCAAGACGATACCGAAAGGATGGTATACGAAGAACTTAGTCAGGACCCGTTCGTCAATGACATAGTCCCTAAGTACTACAGAGAAGTCGAATACCAAGGCGAGAAGTTCATCGAACTGCAAGACTTGCTCCACGGATTCCAAGTACGTTATTAACGTCATTTCCAAGAAACGACTTTATTGACTAATTGTGTTTTTTTTTTGCCCTCTAGGACCCGTACGTGATCGATATCAAAATGGGAACGCGAACTTTCCTGGAATGCGAAGTGAACAAGACAACGGCCCGCAACGATCTCTACCAGAAGATGGTAGCGATCGATCCATCGGCGCCGACCAGCGAGGAGCACGAGCTGCAAGCCGTCACCAAGTTGCGTTACATGCAATTCAGAGAGCAGCAATCGTCTACCTGCAGCCACGGCTTCAGGATCGAAGCTATGAAATGCAGAGGATGCCCTCCCGTCACCGACCTGAAGAAAGTCAAGTCTACGGATCAAGTGATAAACACTCTGGATATGTTCATCAACAACCGCGAAGACGTCAAGCAGAGGTTGCTGAAGAGGTTGAACGACATGAGGACGAAGATCGACCAATCGGAGTATTTCAGGAGGCACGAAGTGATCGGCAGCAGTGTTTTCATGATCTACGACAACAATAAAGTGGGTGTTTGGTTAATAGACTTTGCGAAAACCAAGTTGCTTCCTGATGAGAAGACTGTGAACCACAGGGAGAGTTGGGTGCAGGGAAACCACGAAGAAGGATTACTCCACGGCTTCGATCAACTTATTAATGTAAGTTTTCAAAAAAGAACACCAAAAAATGTGAATTGTTTTACTAATTATATTGTTTGATTTTGCAGATTATCGAAGGTATGGACACATCCCAGAAACTGGATGGATTGGACAAGAAGAGTCTGCCTGCTGTGACTGTCAAATCTTGAACGCATCCAAGAGTTGAATGAACTTTTGTGTACGTCCTGAAAAGACCCACAAATGGTTTGGATGTTTTGTTTTGATTTTTCTTTCACGTTCCTCTTCGCACGCCTGTTAAAGTTTTGGTTACGCCCGTGCAGCAGCTCACGATGTTCGAAGATGAGACGAAGCAGCCAACAAAACCGACCCGTCTTGTATTTATGTGAATTAACTTATTTTCTATTAATTTGCCTCGTTTTTGTGACGCGAATCTCAAGATATCCCAGGATGTCAGTGTGTACTTTGTATTTTCCTTCTCGAAAGACGCATTTTCACCATGAACGTCGTTTTCATCTCTTCTCTAATCTAAATATTTACATTAAAAAAGAAACGACTGATTGATTGGAAGAAGGGTGAAATTTGAACGATTCCTGTGGAAGTGTCGTCAGGTGTTTACTTTCGTTTTCTATTTTAAGTATTAATAGTTTAAGTCTTTGTAATGATGAAGAACACTTCTCTAGTCAGATAAATGTAATCGATTTAATGTAAATATGTTTAATAAGTAAGGATTATTTATGTTTACTTTTAAGTTTTTGTACGACTCGTGTAAAAACACAAATGGCTTTTTTAAATGTACTTATGTATTAAAACACAGAAACAAATCTACCTACTTGTTTAAATTACACATATACTACACCTCTTTGAAACCTTCCTATAGAAAAATTCATCTTTAAATAAATTACTTTAAATATTCAATCTTCAAATGGTAAGAATTTTCAGTTTATAATAATCAGACAAATATTAATACAGAAAATATAAACATTTACTGCCTCTTATGTCAATCATAAAAATGTAGGAAGTTACACCGTTCTCGAAAAATTATTATAAAATCGTTATATTTCAGTCAGTAGTTAACAATTATCTAATAAAAGATTATTTCCTGTTTTATATGTAAAATTTGATATTTTTCGATTTAATATGAAATAAATAAAAAATGTTACTACACATATGTTTAAAAACAAAAACAAATGAAAATAAATTGGAAATATAATAATATTTAATAATATCTACCATTATTTATATCAAAAAATATATAATTTAAAAACCCTCTAACATTTAATTTTAAAAAAAATCGAAAGTTTCAATTTCAATCTATGCAACCAGATATACATAGACACATTAAAAAAAATATCTTATTATTTGAAAAGAACACAACTCTGCCAAGATTTAAATTGGAAAAGCTATAGTATTGTTTTCAATTTATATGTTAAATGATGTAAATATACTGTATGGTTATTAAATAATTAGATAAAACACGAAGATATCGAAATAATAGAAAAATGTCTATAACTCATTACGTAAGTAGTAATTAATTAAATAAGTAAGAATTTAAAATATATCAACAATTGACAAGTTTGTGATTTTATTTACAAAAGATAAAAATTTGATAGAATATTTTTAAATTATTTAATAATAATTATATTTTATTTTGAATACAAAACTTAAGGCAATAATAGAAGATAATTCTTAATTATCTAGTAAGTACTTGAGATTATTTTAGAGTCTATATCGAAATCCCGACATTCGAAATCCCGAGTGTATTGAAATCCCGACGTTTGATATCCCGAGTGTATCGAAATCCCGACTACCATAATCTGGACAATCAAAATGCCGACTGTATCGAAATCCCGAATATATCGAAATCCCGACTACTATAATCCCGACAATCGAAATCCCGACTGTGTCTTTTATTATTATAATTTCTACAATAACATTTTTAAATTATTGTACTATATATTAATAGGTACGACGGATACTGAAAAAAATATTTTTAAGACTTAGGTCGATGGCTCTTTTGCCCGATTATTAATTGTTGTTATACACAATTTCAATACACTCGGGATTTCGAATGTCGGGATTTCGAACATCGGGATTTCGATAGACGGGATTTCGGTTGTCGGGCTTGCGATTGCCACCGATTATTTTAGTATATATGCAACCAAATGCACAAAATGTGTATGCAGCTAACTTCAACATGTTGCACGTGAAGACAGGGACGGATTCAGCAATATTTATGGGCTGCAACCATAATACAAAAAAAACAGAACAAACACAAACATAGGTACATTAGGTATAACTAAAAGATTTCGTCCTGAGTCATGGTACTGTAATCCATTCATATGCTATGAGCTGTCGTGTCGTTATAAATTTCAGGATAATCACGAAGGATAATTACATAATTTAACAAGCACAGAAAACCGAAATATTTAATTTCACATGAGTCTACTGAAAAAGAATTTAGAATTGATATTTCGATTTTGAAAGATTTTGAAAATTACCAAAATTTTGTAAAATTTATTCTTTCCTATAGTTATAAACGTTGCAGAACTCCATGTATAAAAATGATTACGTTAATAAGGTTTTATTTTTTTTATAGGTTTTCCTAATTGGTCTATTACAGGCAACCAACTATACAATTTGTAATATTTGAAGACAGTTTAAAATCACAATTTGACAATTCTTGACATAAGTTTACTCAGATATATGTGAAAACTCAATATAGTTTATAAACTTGTAAACATTTCAGAAGGATTGAAACATTATAGTTTCAGAAAAGACAATGCAAATTAAAGCAAAAACATCTGGGTTTATGAGCCATAAAAGTTGGTGACATATTGGTTAAATGTCTGCTATTACTTCTTAAATTGATAGGAAATGTAGCTGCTGAATATGTAGAATTGATTTCAAATCTTCAGGGAATTAAAAAAACTATTGATTCCAGTCTGTAAATTATCCAGATTTCTCCTAAATGTAGAACAAGTTTTATCGACTGATTGCGGTCATGGTAAAAACTTACTTTTTGCATTTACTCCTTAAAAAATATCATCTGTTACTCAAATGGAAATACTTTCCAATCTTAAAGGAATAGAGGAAAGGCAAACTATACAGAAAAGCCCTCCTTAAGGGTACTTCGGTTAACGCTGTTTCAGTATTACACGGTAGAATTAGGATTCCTGAAGTCGCGCACTATTTTGTTACTTTGATACTCCCATGCATGTTGGTGGCGCATTTGAGTATTAACGCATGTTTGCTGTATAACAGTTGATTTACGATTGGTCATCAACGTTATTTTGTATATATGTAACTCGTTTAACGCTGTTTCGTTTATCGCTGGAACTTATTGGAACGTATCCCCAGCGTTAACCTAGGTCTTACTGCACTGCTATAGATGCTTCTTAAAAGGAAAAATACTTTTGGTCACTGGTTGCAGTAAAGTTTATAATGTACGTTTTGCATTTCCTCATATAAAGATTACAGATTCCCAGAAGATAAAATAAACTTAAACAGAGCTGCATCTAAACTGAAAAGGCTGCTTAAAAGCATCTAAAATGAAGCAGTAGAACAGTACTTGCTAAACCTGACGCCCACCGAAGCAACAGATTATTCCTTGTGGAAAGCTACAAGAAATCTGAAACAACGGCAGAAAAGAATCCCGCTTATATGAAAAGACGACGGAAAGCAGAAATGTTCGCAGATCATTTTAAAACAATCTTTAAACCACTTCCAGCGGAAGAAGATAAAGAAGTTGAAGCTTATTTATCTTCTCCGTTTCAAATGTCAATCTCATTGTCAATAAAATCAATAAGCCCAAGGGAAATTAAAACATATATTAATAGTCAAATAAATCCAAAGAAGACGCCAGGCTATGACTTAATGGGAATAAGGGGAAAACTATTGAAATAACTCCCATTGAAATTTTTTTGATCACTCAAATATTTAATACTATACTACGTACAGGTTACTTTCCAGCGCAGTGAAAAGTTGCACAAAATTATAATAATAGCTAAACCAGGAAAACCTGCCTAAGAAATCAAGTCGTACAGACCCATAATTCTTCGAAAATTTAGATAAGCTGAAAGAATGGCTTAATAAATGGATTCGAACTGAAATCCGTGCATATCACATTCACGCTAAAGAAAGACACCTGCCCGACTGTAAGATCACATTCAAGCTAAAAGGGAACAATTAGAAATAAAGTTTAGAAAACTCTACTGGCTTCAAGTGAATTATTAGTGGAAAATAAATTACTTATATACAAAGTAATACTGAAACCAGTATGGACGTATGGTAGGTATCCAATTATGGGGTGCGGCCAGTAAATCATACAAAAGTTCCAATCAAAATGCCTAATAAATATTATTAGGGCTCCATGGTTCGTCAGGAATAAACAAATTTTTATATAGATATGGTCAATAGCAAAATTTTGTAATAGATACAAGATAGACTGGAGTCACATACTAATGTTATAGCTATTGGCCTACTCGACAACAGTGAAACCACAAACAGGCTGAAGAATTGCAAACCACTAGATTTAGTATATAGATTTAAGTAACTATTAAAGTTCAAATCATCACAATAGTAACTATCCACCGGGAAAGATTATCCATCTAACCGCGATCTTAAATTTACTCAATGTTCACATTGATGAACAGATCGTGAATAAAATTATACGACATTAAAAAAAATATATAAAGATTGCATCTATCATGTAGATATGTTTAGCATTTTTTAAGGAATATGAGGAAATAAACTATAAATTCATTGGGATAAAGTTTTTCTTACAAAACAAATAGTAAATGGACTGATTATTATAAATATATATTTTTTAATATAATTATTAGAATTTAAATTTTCGATGCAGACAAATTGAAGATACATTTCTTCAATATATCAATACATTTGTAATAGTTTTTAATAGTGTTAATTATACTTATGTATTCAACATATTTGCATCTTGTATAACTGTTGCAATTAATATAATTATTATTAATTGACATTACATAATTACTCGTATATAAAAGGATGGTTCAATCGCTCATTTAAATAAATCATAAATCAATAAGTGTTTGTTTGGTTGCCTACGTATTAATGCAATTCTCATTTACTTTTTTATATAATTAACCTGACAAACAAACACAGTAACAGTCCTAAACGTATATAAATAACAAAAAATAAGTAATGAATTAAATAGTTGATAATTCATAAATTTTTCTAGATACACAATTAATACCTAGTTTCAAATAAAATATTTAACGGTTTTTGTCCTGACCTAAGCTCAATAATCTTTTGTTTTATTGTTAGTATTATTATTTTTTTATAACTTTTATTATTTATTCACAATTTGCCAACATCTCTGGCACTAAGTTGAATGTTTTTTGGCCAAGACATGAATGTTTTTTGGCCAAGACATGAATGTTTTTTGTTATTATTAAGTAAAATATTATGTATTAAGTATCAAATTTAAATACCAATTTTTTTAATATGGAAAAAATTGTACATAATATTTTTTATAATGATTTCTTTTTCTATAATATTGAATATTTGTTAAAGATAAACAAAGTTAAAAAAAATCAATAAATTGAACAATTTGTACTACTAATATCAAATATTATTATGCACTTTTTATTTTATTATTTACTTTTTATTACATTTGCTTATTTTTGTAAAATAATTGTTTAATTACATTTTAATATAATTAATTTTGTTAAAATGAATATGCATGAATATACATTTAATTGAATTTTTATTAAATTATTCATGTAAAATTATAAAAGTCTAATAAGAAATAATTATTCAATATTCATATTTATTTTAATTGATTTATCCTTCAGTTTGTATTCCATTAATATATTTCGGATAAACAATTACAATATTTAACATGTTAAATTTACATAAACCAAAAATTATTCTATATTTATTGTAATAATAGAAGTTTATTTCACATGTTTATATAAATATTGAAAATTAGAATTTAACAATTTGAATCTATATTTGTTAATAGAAGAGTAAATTTAATCCAATTTAAATATATTAATAAATAAAGCATTAATTCTCAAAGTGGGGGTCGCAACCCCCCAGCGGGGTAGCGAAAAATATTTGGTGGGTCGCAAAAAAATTGTTGACAGATCAATTCTGGATCTTTTTTACACATACCCATTCTTTGGGGGGTCGCATAATTTTGTGTAAGTGCTGACTGTAAAGTTCGAGAAACGCTGAAGTAAAGTTTTCTTTTGGATTCTATATGAAAATATCGAAATTAATTAAAATGTTAATTATTTTCGTATTTTTTTTTTCAATTACCATTAAAAAAAGCTTTTATTTTATAAAATATTTCAATTTAACAACTGTTTTTATGTAAGATTATAATTTAATAAAATTATTAGATTGATTTTTTTTATTTTGATTATATAATTATTTATTTGGTTTAGTAAAGTTTACTTTTGGATTCTATATGAAAATGTCGAAATTTATTAAAATGTTAATTATTTTCGTATTTTTTTTTCAATTACCATTAAAAACCTTGTCTTCTATAAAATATTTCAATTTAACAACTCTTTTTTATTTAAAATTTTAATTTAATAAAATTATTACATTGGAAAAACCTAATAACATAATTATATAATTATGTATTTGGTTTATGTGACTGTTATAATAAATATTATTATTATGAAAATTATGATGAAAAATATTGGTCCCAAATTGGGTTTTCGACAAGAAAACTGTATTTAAACAAATTATTTACGTATATCTTTGTAAAGAAAAGTTAAATTAATTGATATTTTAACATTAATTAGTATAGTATATAACAATAATTTTCAAAGTAGGGGCTGCAAAAAGTAGTTGGGGGGTCGCAGAAAAATTGTTGACAGATCAATCCTGGATCTTTTCTGCACAATCCAGAAAGAAAATAAATGTAAAAGGGGGTCGCGGGCCAAATAGTTTGAGAAACGCTGGTATACAATATAAGTTAAGTACATATTTGGATTAAAAACGAAAATATCGTTATTTAAAAAAAATACGGTTAGAAGTGAAACATTTAAATTTATTCCAATTCGTTATCAACCCTCGTTGTGCATGTGGGAGAATCGAACGGTTACACTTTTTTTTTCGTTATCCGTAAAATAAGACATGAGAGAATACAGATCGTTATCGAGAAGCAAGCACATGTCCCTAAATTGCGTAAGCTCTTAAATCATTCGGATGATTAGGTTGTCCACAAAGGCGAGCCGATTAATTTCGTGTACCCCCAGAACGGTACCAAAATGGGCCCTCTTGCATCTCTTTCACCCACCGGCTCTCATCAAGCCGAACAACACCAACCGAGCCCATACCCAAACAACACACGCACGGCAGTCGCTCGCCGACAACCATACAACTCAGTCTACCTGAGTGCCAATACTAGTTCTTGTAGCTCTTCTCCTCTTCCACACTCGTAAACACACTCTCGGTTTCGTGAACAATGCCCCTTTGGTTCTATGCCCGCATTGAGGGAGCGTGACAATTATATGGAAAACCACCAAATCCCAACACAGAATTAGTGACTCTAAGTGTAAACATTGTTGTTCCTCCGCTTCAGTCCTCTGTACCTTTTGGATTATCGCATTTCTACTTACCCAGGGTAAGAATTTTTTAAAAATTTGTTTTACAAACCAACAAATTTGACAGTTATATAAAATAATTTAGTATATAAATAAACAAATAAACAAAAAATATACAAACTAATTGTTTTCTTTTATCAGTTTTTTTTTTTCAATTTTTTCCATAAAAACGAATGAACTTTACTATATGTATTAAAAATAATACTAATAATTCACACAAAAAATATACAAACTTAAATACATTTTCTTAACACTAACGATTACTTAAACAGTCTACATATTATTACTATCAATATTTTGATACTATGAATTTCATTGATAAAAAAAACTAGTTTAAAATTGATAATTTTAAATATAATATAGCAACTTATCATTTATTGTTTTTTTTCTTTATACAATTTGTATTATTGTATCTATTCATTTTACAAATAACTTTACTTACTATATAATGTTAAAAGAAAGAACTTGATACACCAAAATAAGATAATTAAACTTTCTGGAAATTAACTTTTTGTTACAACTTTTCAATTAATATATTTTTGAAAATGGTTGGTTTTGGTATGAAATATCATAATTCATTTGATGCAAGATCTAAGATCTATTCACTTCCGGTGGGACTGACGGACAAAGAATAAAATAAGAATAAACTGTGACTTAAATTGAATGCACCGATCTAGAGAGATTAATATGGGTTCTCTTATTATGGTAATTGCTGCGCTAGAACATAAAACGCAACGGCCACAAGCACTTCGTCTTTTCTTTGGATCACCACCACCATAACCACCGGAGATTTAATTTTATTTGAAACTTAATACATGCAATATCTCACCTCTCGAAATCAATTAATTCCACTCGAGCACACGCTTTGTAATTAGCATTTTCTATATCCAGTTTATCCGTTCATCTTAATAAAATAAAAAATAAAATAAAAACATAAATACATTATATTAATATAGATTTCATTTATTTCTTTGTTTTTCCCTACAAACATTTAATAATTTATAATTAATACTTTGATTTTTTATATTATTTAGTTTATTAAAAAACTTTTTTCACAAAAAAAATCTTAATTTCAAAAATAACTTTACGAAAATTTATATTACGTAATTCATATACGTTACAAATTTGAAATTTTCATTAAACATTTTTCTGTTCAAGAATTTCTAATTGTAATTTAAATTATCATTATTTCCGTGGTTATTATATAATTAAACCTCTATTAAAAATTTCATCTTAATAAAATATCAATAATAAAAAGATATAATATAGGTCAATTAAAAAAAAACAAATATTTCTCACAATTAACGAGTTTCTACTTTGTAATTTGATTTTTTTTTATTTTGTGGTTCTCATGATTGTGCATATAATAAAAAAATGATATAATTGATTTTTTTTGTCTAAAAATTATGAACTTTGCATTAAAACACACATTTCTTAATTATATAATAAATTTGCCTTGCAATTTGACTTTTTAGTATTTTGTTAATGGTAATTAATTCATCAAATAAAGTAACGAAAAAATTGATATTACTTAATTCATATTATAAAATTTTATCAAAAAACATTTATTTTTTCAAGAATTTCTACTTGTAATTTAAATTTTCAATATTTTCAAAGCGATTATATAATTAATTATTAGTAAATTTATCTTAATAAAATCTCAATAAAAAAGCGTAAATAAAAAAAAATTACATTATTTATTTGTTGTACGAATTTACATTTAATTTCTCAGAAATAATAAGTTTATACCCTGTATAATATTCAATAAGGATATAAAAATGTTTATTTTGATAAAAAAAAAAATTTATAAATAGAAAATTTTTAACTTGTAATATGAAATTTTACGTATTTCCATGGTGATTATTTAAGTAAATGTAAAATTAGTAATTTTATCTGAAGATTGTGTCTTTTATACAGAAAATATGTCTATTTTTTATTTATACAAATATTTCAAAATTTAAAAAAATCTGATAGTATTTTTTTTTTAATTATTTGATTCTTTACTTATTATATAATCAACTTATTTATATAATGAAAAAAAAACAATTGATGTAATTGATTTTTTTTATAAAAATTATGAACTTTTAAAAATTAATCTTAATAAAATCTCATGACGTAACGAAAAAAAAATGTATATACAATTTAAAAAAAAATCTTTTAAGTATTTCTAAATGTAATTTAAATTTTTAATATTTCAATTATTAACAAATTCATCTTAATAAAAGCAACGAAAAAAATGATATTATTTATTTGTTGTAAGAATTTAGTTCAATTTAATGAAAACTAATATTTCTCACAATTAACGAGTTTCTACTTTGTAACGTGATTTTTTTTAATTTGTAGTCCTCAATATAATTATCATTAAAACAAAATTATAAATAAAAATGTATAATTATTAATAATGATTAATGATATTATCTTAACACAATCTCTTAATACAGGTAATATGTGTGTTATTTGTTTTTTTTATAAGTATTTTCATTTATTATACAAAATAAATATTTCATAATTAATTATTTTTAGAATGTATGTATTTCCATGATTCTCATATATCTATTAACTTAATAAAAACTATAAGAATTATTTGTTATAAGAATTTTCTAATCTTTGATTATATTTTTCTGAAAACAAACATATCTACCAAACAATTTAAATTCTACGTAATACCACGTTGATTATATAATAAGTAAAGCTTTAATAAGGATCAATAATCGACGAATTATGCAATATTGGCTTCTAATGACTAAATTCATTTACAAGTCCATTTTGATGCGTTCGTTTTGCTTCTCGTTCGCGGAATTGGCTTAATGGAGTTGAGTTATTAAGCGCTCGATTCATTTTCCTGTTTACTATTTTTTTTTTCTCTCTCTCTCGACTTTAATAGCTTAACTCTAAAGAAATTTAAGCGAGGACGGGGTTTCGAATTATTGGCATTCGGAAAATTGCCTTCACAGATGCATCGATTTTAATTTCATCGGGGAAATGAAAACGACTCGACGGAATAAATCTGCATCGAATTATATAGTCTTCGACTTCCAAGTCTCGTTACCTGTTACGTGCAATTAATGAATTTGTTAAGAATTAAGTGATATTTATTGCAAATTATATCGATTTATTTCTTGATTTACGAAACGATCGCAATTTATACTATGTTTTAAGTTATGGTAAGTCATTTGATTAAAACGTTGTTAATTATTTTGTTTCAAGCGTTTCCATAGAAACTTATTTCTTGATAAATTTAATTGTTTTATGGGAATTCATTATGAAATATTTTCTGTTTATTTTTATGTGGTTTTTAAGTCCTCGATTAGTCCTGTTTCACTCGGACTATGCGAGGTATTTCTGTACTTTAATTAACTTTGTATTCTTTACAATATTAAGATATTATCTATATACCATACAATATACCTTTCAGAGTGCTAATTCATTTATAGTACGGTTTGAAACTTTCAATAGAAATTTATTGAGAAAAATAAAAATAAATTTAAAAAAATTAGTACACAAAATTATTTTTTTGATTTAATGATCTTGTTTCTGTATAAAGTCAAGTCGTTTGTTTTTATTTTTATTTTTTATATGGTTTTAAAGTCCTTGTTTAGTCCGGTTTCATCCGGACTATGCGAGATATTTGTGTACTTTAATAATCAAAAGCTTAATTAAACCTACTAACATTTTAATCAACTTTATATTTTTTACAATATTAAGAGATTATCTATATGCCATACAGAATATCTTGCAGAGTGCGGATTCGATTAGTGCTGATTCATTTATAGTACGGTTTCAAACTTTCAAATCAAATTAATTGAGAAACTTATTTTTGTATTGTTGTTCTGTGTATTTTTATGTGGTTTTAAAGTCCTCGATTCGTCCGGTTTCATCCGGATCCGGAAACTTTCAATACAAATTTATTGAAAAAAATAAAAATAAATTTAAAAAAATTAGTACACA